CTGTACAAACAACAACTTGAATCCATGGTGGAGACTTGACCTTTTGAAAACATATAAAATCAACACTGTGACTATCACCAACAGACAAGACTGTTGCCCTGAGAGGATCAATGGAGCTGAGATCCGCATTGGAAATTCACTTAATGACAATGGCAATGCGAATCCCAGGTAAATGAGCTATTCATCTTATACTTGATTCAAATTTTGTCATAACCATCATATATGTGGCAATCATTAATTATAATTGTAATAGATTTCTACTTCTATCTCTGTTTTTTTTAGAGTTAAGTTCATCAGGCAATAAAGAGCAGCACCTTGATTATATGAAATTGACATTTATACAAACTTTTACTTTAGATTAATCTTATGTTACTTGTTAATCTTTTTTCTTGTCATTTGTTTTCAGATGTGCTGTAATCTCATCCATCGCTGCTGGGGCATCACAAACCTTTGCATGCAATGGAATGGAAGGTCGCTACATAAACATCGTTATTCCTGGGAGAACAGAATACCTGACACTTTGTGAGGTGGAAGTTGATGGTACACTTTCAGGTAAATCTTGTCCAATTCTTCTTGTGTGTTCCACGTTTAATGAACACATAATGGTTTTTGGAGTTCTTCTTATCATATTAATGCTAATTTTTGCAACTTTTCAGAGACTAATGTTGCCAGACTTGGACAAGTGAGTCAGTCTTCAACGTATGGGAATGCCAAACCCGAAAATGCCATTGATGGGAATCGTGCCAGCAACTACAACCAGGGATCCTGTGCCTGTACAAACAACAACTTGAATCCATGGTGGAGACTTGACCTTTTGAAGCCATATAAAATCAACACTGTGACTATCACCAACAGACAAGACTGTTGCCCTGAGAGGATCAATGGAGCTGAGATCCGCATTGGAAATTCACTTAATGACAATGGCAATGCGAATCCCAGGTAAATGAGCTATTCCTCTTATACGTGATTCAAATTTTGTCATAACAGTCATATATGTGGGAATCATTACCTGTTAATCTGTTTCCTTGTCATTTGTTTTCAGATGTGCTGTAATCTCATCTATCGCTGCTGGGGCATCACAAACCTTTGCATGCAATGGAATGGAAGGTCGCTACATAAACATCATTATTCCTGGGAGAACAGAATACCTGACACTTTGTGAGGTGGAAGTTGATGGTACACTTTCAGGTAAATCTTGTCCAATTCTTCTTGTGTGTTCTGGGTTAAATGAACACATAATGGTTTTTGGAGTTCTTCTTATCACATTAATGCTAATATTTGCAACTTTTCAGAGACTAATGTTGCCAGACTTGGACAAGTGAGTCAATCTTCAAAGTATGGGAATGCCAAACCTGAAAATGCCATTGATGGGAATCGTGCCAGCAACTCAACCAGGGATCCTGTGCCTGTACAAACAACAACTTGAATCCATGGTGGAGACTTGACCTTTTGAAAACATATAAAATCAACACTGTGACTATCACCAACAGACAAGACTGCTGCCCTGAGAGGATCAATGGAGCTGAGATCCGCATTGGAAATTCACTTAATGACAATGGCAATGCGAATCCCAGGTAAATGAGCTATTCATCTTATACTTGATCAACTTTGTCATAACCGTCATATATGTGGCAATCATTAATTATATTGTAATAGATTCTACTTCTATCTCTGTTTTTTTAGAGTTAAGTTCATCAGCAATAAAGAGCAGCACCTTGATTATATGAAATTGACATTTATACAAACTTTTACTTTAGATTAATCTTATGTTACTGTTAATCTTTTTCTTGTCATTTGTTTTCAGATGTGCTGTAATCTCATCCATCGCTGCTGGGGCATCACAAACCTTTGCATGCAATGGAATGGAAGGTCGCTACATAAACATCGTTATTCCTGGGAGAACAGAATACCTGACACTTTGTGAGGTGGAAGTTGATGGTACACTTTCAGGTAAATCTTGTCCAATTCTTCTGTGTGTTCCACGTTTAATGAACACATAATGGTTTTTGGAGTTCTTCTTATCATATTAATGCTAATATTTGCAACTTTTCAGAGACTAATGTTGCCAGACTTGGACAAGTGGCTCAGTCTTCAACGTATGGGAATGCCAAACCCGAAAATGCCATTGATGGGAATCGTGCCAGCAACTACAACCAGGGATCCTGTGCCTGTACAAACAACAACTTGAATCCATGGTGGAGACTTGACCTTTTGAAGACATATAAAATCAACACTGTGACTATCACCAACAGACAAGACTGTTGCCCTGAGAGGATCAATGGAGCTGAGATCCGCATTGGAAATTCACTTAATGACAATGGCAATGCGAATCCCAGGTAAATGAGCTATTCATCTTATACGTGATTCAAATTTTGTCATAACAGTCATATATGTGGGAATCATTACCTGTTAATCTGTTTCCTTGTCATTTGTTTTCAGATGTGCTGTAATCTCATCCATCGCTGCTGGGGCATCACAAACCTTTGCATGCAATGGAATGGAAGGTCGCTACATAAACATCGTTATTCCTGGGAGAACAGAATACCTGACACTTTGTGAGGTGGAAGTTGATGGTACACTTTCAGGTAAATCTTGTCCAATTCTTCTGTGTGTTCTGTTTAATGAACACATAATGGTTTTTGGAGTTCTTCTTATGATATTATTGCTAATATTTGCAACTTTTCAGAGACTAATGTTGCCAGAATTGGACAAGTGGCTCATCTTCAACGTATGGGAATGCCAAACCCGAAAATGCCATTGATGGGAATCGTGCCAGCAACTACAACCAGGGATCCTGTGCCTGTACAAACAACAACTTGAATCCATGGTGGAGACTTGACCTTTTGAAACATATAAAATCAACACTGTGACTATCACCAACAGACAAGACTGTTGCCCTGAGAGGATCAATGGAGCTGAGATCCGCATTGGAAATTCACTTAATGACAATGGCAATGCGAATCCCAGGTAAATGAGCTATTCATCTTATTGAAACTTTGTCATAACCATCATATATGTGGCAATCATTAATTATATTTAAAAGATTCTACTTCTATCTCGTTTTTTTAGAGTTAAGTCATCACAATAAAGAGCAGCACCTTGATATATGAAATGACATTTATACAAATTTTTTTTAGATTATCTTATGTTACTTGTTAATCTTTTTTCTTGTCATTTGTTTTCAGATGTGCTGTAATCTCATCCATCGCTGCTGGGGCATCACAAACCTTTGCATGCAATGGAATGGAAGGTCGCTACATAAACATCGTTATTCCTGGGAGAACAGAATACCTGACACTTTGTGAGGTGGAAGTTGATGGTACACTTTCAGGTAAATCTTGTCCAATTCTTCTCGTGTGTTCCACGTTTAATGAACACATAATGGTTTTGGAGTTCTTCTTATCATATTATGCTAATTTTGCAACTTTTCAGAGACTAATGTTGCCAGACTTGGACAAGTGGCTCAGTCTTCAACGTATGGGAATGCCAAACCCGAAAATGCCATTGATGGGAATCGTGCCAGCAACTACAACCAGGGATCCTGTGCCTGTACAAACAACAACTTGAATCCATGGTGGAGACTTGACCTTTTGAAGACATATAAAATCAACACTGTGACTATCACCAACAGACAAGACTGTTGCCCTGAGAGGATCAATGGAGCTGAGATCCGCATTGGAAATTCACTTAATGACAATGGCAATGCGAATCCCAGGTAAATGAGCTATTCATCTTATACGTGATTCAAATTTTGTCATAACAGTCATATATGTGGGAATCATTACCTGTTAATCTGTTTCCTTGTCATTTGTTTTCAGATGTGCTGTAATCTCATCTATCGCTGCTGGGGCATCACAAACCTTTGCATGCAATGGAATGGAAGGTCGCTACATAAACATCATTATTCCTGGGAGAACAGAATACCTGACACTTTGTGAGGTGGAAGTTGATGGTACACTTTCAGGTAAATCTTGTCCAATTCTTCTTGTGTGTTCTGGTTAAATGAACACATAATGGGTTTTGGAGTTCTTCTTATCATATTATGCTAATATATGCAACTTTTCAGAGACTAATGTTGCCAGACTTGGACAAGTGGCTCAATCTTCAACGTATGGGAATGCCAAACCCGAAAATGCCATTGATGGGAATCGTGCCAGCAACTACAACCAGGGATCCTGTGCCCATACAAACAACAACTTGAATCCATGGTGGAGACTTGACCTTTTGAAACATATAAAATCAACACTGTGACTATCACCAACAGACAAGACTGTTGCCCTGAGAGGATCAATGGAGCTGAGATCCGCATTGGAAATTCACTTAATGACAATGGCAATGCGAATCCCAGGTAAATGAGCTATTCATCTTTGAAACTTTGTCATAACATCATATATGTGGCAATCATTAATTATGTTTAATAAATTCTACTTCTACCTCTTTTTTTAGAGTTAGTCCACCATAAACGAGCAGCATCTTGATATATGAATGACATTTATACAAATTTTTTTAGATTAATCTTATGTTACTTGTTAATCTTTTTCTTGTCATTTGTTTTCAGATGTGCTGTAATCTCATCCATCGCTGCTGGGGCATCACAAACCTTTGCATGCAATGGAATGGAAGGTCGCTACATAAACATCGTTATTCCTGGGAGAACAGAATACCTGACACTTTGTGAGGTGGAAGTTGATGGTACACTTTCAGGTAAATCTTGTCCAATTCTTCTGTGTGTTCCACGTTTAATGAACACATAATGGTTTTGGAGTTCTTCTTATCATATTATGCTAATATTTGCAACTTTTCAGAGACTAATGTTGCCAGACTTGGACAAGTGGTCAGTCTTCAACGTATGGGAATGCCAAACCCGAAAATGCCATTGATGGGAATCGTGCCAGCAACTACAACCAGGGATCCTGTGCCTGTACAAACAACAACTTGAATCCATGGTGGAGACTTGACCTTTTGAAGACATATAAAATCAACACTGTGACTATCACCAACAGACAAGACTGTTGCCCTGAGAGGATCAATGGAGCTGAGATCCGCATTGGAAATTCACTTAATGACAATGGCAATGCGAATCCCAGGTAAATGAGCTATTCATCTTATACGTGATTCAAATTTTGTCATAACAGTCATATATGTGGGAATCATTACCTGTTAATCTGTTTCCTTGTCATTTGTTTTCAGATGTGCTGTAATCTCATCCATCGCTGCTGGGGCATCACAAACCTTTGCATGCAATGGAATGGAAGGTCGCTACATAAACATCGTTATTCCTGGGAGAACAGAATACCTGACACTTTGTGAGGTGGAAGTTGATGGTACACTTTCAGGTAAATCTTGTCCAATTCTTCTCGTGTGTTCTGGGTTAAATGAACACATAATGGTTTTTGGAGTTCTTCTTATCATATTAATGCTAATTTTTGCAACTTTTCAGAGACTAATGTTGCCAGACTTGGACAAGTGGCTCAGTCTTCAACGTATGGGAATGCCAAACCCGAAAATGCCATTGATGGGAATCGTGCCAGCAACTACAACCAGGGATCCTGTGCCTGTACAAACAACAACTTGAATCCATGGTGGAGACTTGACCTTTTGAAACATATAAAATCAACACTGTGACTATCACCAACAGACAAGACTGTTGCCCTGAGAGGATCAATGGAGCTGAGATCCGCATTGGAAATTCACTTAATGACAATGGCAATGCGAATCCCAGGTAAATGAGCTATTCATCTTATTGACAACTTTGTCATAACAGTCATATATGTGGCAATCATTAATTATGTTTAATAAATTCTACTTCTACTCTGTTTTTTTAGAGTTAGTTCCACCATAAAGAGCAGCACTTGATTATATGAAGGACATTTATACAAATTTTTTTTACATTATCTTATGTTACTTGTTAATCTTTTTTCTTGTCATTTGTTTTCAGATGTGCTGTAATCTCATCCATCGCTGCTGGGGCATCACAAACCTTTGCATGCAATGGAATGGAAGGTCGCTACATAAACATCGTTATTCCTGGGAGAACAGAATACCTGACACTTTGTGAGGTGGAAGTTGATGGTACACTTTCAGGTAAATCTTGTCCAATTCTTCTCGTGTGTTCCACGTTTAATGAACACATAATGGTTTTTGGAGTTCTTCTTATCATATTAATGCTAATTTTTGCAACTTTTCAGAGACTAATGTTGCCAGACTTGGACAAGTGGTCAGTCTTCAACGTATGGGAATGCCAAACCCGAAAATGCCATTGATGGGAATCGTGCCAGCAACTACAACCAGGGATCCTGTGCCTGTACAAACAACAACTTGAATCCATGGTGGAGACTTGACCTTTTGAAGACATATAAAATCAACACTGTGACTATCACCAACAGACAAGACTGTTGCCCTGAGAGGATCAATGGAGCTGAGATCCGCATTGGAAATTCACTCAATGACAATGGCAATGCGAATCCCAGGTAAATGAGCTATTCATCTTATACTTGATTCAAATTTTGTCATAACAACAGTCATATATGTGGGAATCATTACCTGTTAATCTGTTTCCTTGTCATTTGTTTTCAGATGTGCTGTAATCTCATCTATCGCTGCTGGGGCATCACAAACCTTTGCATGCAATGGAATGGAAGGTCGCTACATAAACATCATTATTCCTGGGAGAACAGAATACCTGACACTTTGTGAGGTGGAAGTTGATGGTACACTTTCAGGTAAATCTTGTCCAATTCTTCTTGTGTGTTCTGGGTTAAATGAACACATAATGGGTTTTGGAGTTCTTCTTATCATATTAATGCTAATATTTGCAACTTTTCAGAGACTAATGTTGCCAGACTTGGACAAGTGGCTCAATCTTCAAGTATGGGAATGCCAAACCCGAAAATGCCATTGATGGGAATCGTGCCAGCAACTTCAACCAGGGATCCTGTGCCTGTACAAACAACAACTTGAATCCATGGTGGAGACTTGACCTTTTGAAAACATATAAAATCAACACTGTGACTATCACCAACAGACAAGACTGTTGCCCTGAGAGGATCAATGGAGCTGAGATCCGCATTGGAAATTCACTTAATGACAATGGCAATGCGAATCCCAGGTAAATGAGCTATTCATCTTATACTTGATTCAACTTTTGTCATAACCATCATATATGTGGCAATCATTAATTATAATTGTAATAGATTTCTACTTCTATCTCTGTTTTTTTTAGAGTTAAGTTCATCAGGCAATAAAGAGCAGCACCTTGATTATATGAAATTGACATTTATACAAACTTTTACTTTAGATTAATCTTATGTTACTTGTTAATCTTTTTTCTTGTCATTTGTTTTCAGATGTGCTGTAATCTCATCCATCGCTGCTGGGGCATCACAAACCTTTGCATGCAATGGAATGGAAGGTCGCTACATAAACATCGTTATTCCTGGGAGAACAGAATACCTGACACTTTGTGAGGTGGAAGTTGATGGTACACTTTCAGGTAAATCTTGTCCAATTCTTCTCGTGTGTTCCACGTTTAATGAACACATAATGGTTTTTGGAGTTCTTCTTATCATATTAATGCTAATTTTTGCAACTTTTCAGAGACTAATGTTGCCAGACTTGGACAAGTGGCTCAGTCTTCAACGTATGGGAATGCCAAACCCGAAAATGCCATTGATGGGAATCGTGCCAGCAACTACAACCAGGGATCCTGTGCCTGTACAAACAACAACTTGAATCCATGGTGGAGACTTGACCTTTTGAAGACATATAAAATCAACACTGTGACTATCACCAACAGACAAGACTGTTGCCCTGAGAGGATCAATGGAGCTGAGATCCGCATTGGAAATTCACTTAATGACAATGGCAATGCGAATCCCAGGTAAATGAGCTATTCATCTTATACGTGATTCAAATTTTGTCATAACAGTCATATATGTGGGAATCATTACCTGTTAATCTGTTTCCTTGTCATTTGTTTTCAGATGTGCTGTAATCTCATCTATCGCTGCTGGGGCATCACAAACCTTTGCATGCAATGGAATGGAAGGTCGCTACATAAACATCATTATTCCTGGGAGAACAGAATACCTGACACTTTGTGAGGTGGAAGTTGATGGTACACTTTCAGGTAAATCTTGTCCAATTCTTCTTGTGTGTTCTGGGTTAAATGAACACATAATGGGTTTTGGAGTTCTTCTTATCACATTAATGCTAATATTTGCAACTTTTCAGAGACTAATGTTGCCAGACTTGGACAAGTGAGTCAATCTTCAAAGTATGGGAATGCCAAACCCGAAAATGCCATTGATGGGAATCGTGCCAGCAACTTCAACCAGGGATCCTGTGCCTGTACAAACAACAACTTGAATCCATGGTGGAGACTTGACCTTTTGAAAACATATAAAATCAACACTGTGACTATCACCAACAGACAAGACTGTTGCCCTGAGAGGATCAATGGAGCTGAGATCCGCATTGGAAATTCACTTAATGACAATGGCAATGCGAATCCCAGGTAAATAAGCTATTCATCTTATACGTGATTCAAATTTTGTCATAACAGTCATATATGTGGGAATCATTACCTGTTAATCTGTTTCCTTGTCATTTGTTTTCAGATGTGCTGTAATCTCATCTATCGCTGCTGGGGCATCACAAACCTTTGCATGCAATGGAATGGAAGGTCGCTACATAAACATCGTTATTCCTGGGAGAACAGAATACCTGACACTTTGTGAGGTGGAAGTTGATGGTACACTTTCAGGTAAATCTTGTCCAATTCTTCTCGTGTGTTCTGGGTTAAATGAACACATAATGGTTTTTGGAGTACTTCTTATCATATTAATGCTAATATTTGCAACTTTTCAGAGACTAATGTTGCCAGACTTGGACAAGTGGCTCAGTCTTCAACGTATGGGAATGCCAAACCCGAAAATGCCATTGATGGGAATCGTGCCAGCAACTACAACCAGGGATCCTGTGCCTGTACAAACAACAACTTGAATCCATGGTGGAGACTTGACCTTTTGAAGACATATAAAATCAACACTGTGACTATCACCAACAGACAAGACTGTTGCCCTGAGAGGATCAATGGAGCTGAGATCCGCATTGGAAATTCACTTAATGACAATGGCAATGCGAATCCCAGGTAAATGAGCTATTCATCTTATACGTGATTCAAATTTTGTCATAACCGTCATATATGTGGCAATCATTAATTATGTTTATAAAAAGTTCTACTTCTACCTCCTTTTTTAGAGTTAAATCCACCATACAATTTTGAGCAGCATCTTAACTATCTGAAATTGACATTTATACAAACTTTTACTTTAGATTAATCTTATGTTACTTGTTATTCTTTTTTCTTGTCATTCGTTTTCAGATGTGCTGTAATCTCATCCATCGCTGCTGGGGCATCACAAACCTTTGCATGCAATGGAATGGAAGGTCGCTACATAAACATCGTTATTCCTGGGAGAACAGAATACCTGACACTTTGTGAGGTGGAAGTTGATGGTACACAACTCGATTCTTACAATGAATCTGAGTGTAGCTGGGTCTAAACAAAAGAATTTAGTCTTGTAGTATTCCTTAAGTTTTAAAGTAGGTGTGTGACAATAAGGGTCATTTAGTTAGATCAATCACTTTTTACTGAATGCTTCCATTCATATATGACTTCATAAATAAATTTTGCCTTTATCTGTTGTATCACATGTAATATTTTACAAAACATATTACACTTTCTGTTTCTTTTCCATGCACATGTTTAAACTCCAAATAAATATTGGTGCAGCACACGTTTGAAGAGTCATTCGTTTCCGTTCCAGAGACATAGTTGAAAGGTTAGAATCCTTTGCTCTACCCATCAGTCAATCAATCAATCCTTAGAGAACCACCATTCTGTCGTTCCCTAAAAGTGAACATTAACTTTGTTAAAAGTCCAAATACCCACAGGTACAAACATCTGACTGGCACTACCCCTCTAGGTATCCCACGCAGGATTCTCATTGCATCATTATATGCAACATGCAGCTTCTGGATGTTGCATTGCTTGTAAGATGACCACAAGGAAGCAGTATATAGTGCTGTGCAATACGTTTTAAGCCAGTGGTTCTCAACCAAGAGAGGCCAGCAGTGATCACTGACTGTTTTTTAGGTGCTTGTTCAGATTAAATAGAACAAAATACAAAGCATTAATGTACAAAGCGTGGATGTTTTAATCCAGTACATTTGTTATTATTATCATCATTTGTCACATCCTGTTTATGACAGTTGAAATATATAACATTCATATAAGAAATAAAATTGTCTCCTGTAAATTGTATGTGGAGTTAAATAGACCTATACTACTGTACTTTAATGTCAGTTATGAGGGTGGTACTTCAAGAGCCATATATTTTATGAGGTGGTACTCATTGAGAAAAGTTTGAGAACCACTGCTTTAAGCAAAGCCACTGAACAGAAGCTGAACTTACATGCAGTGGTATTTTCCTGGATATAGCGCTTACAACATTGTCTATATAAATATATATATATCTAATCGTCATCATTCATTTGATCAGTAATAAAGTGACCCACGTATTTCACCTTTTTACAAACCTCAAGAGTAGGGCTGGGTATCGTCACTGATCTCTAGAATGGATTCGATTCCGATTCACATGGATCGATTCGATCCATGATTCGATTCGTTTTGGTTTGATTTGAATCGAGGAAATTTTGCCTCAGACAGCCAGAAATATTATTTTATAATTCTGATTTTTATATCTATAAAAAGAGAGCTGACACTTGTGAGACTTTATCAAAGGTGTAAGCATCACAGCAGATGTCAAAGTAATTGAGGATAAAACAGAAAAACATGAAGGAGATTTTACTGGCCTGGCTTTTTAAATCAGATAACCTTAAAAATATTCTGCACTCAAACAAAACTGAAGAAAACCATAAATCAACATATAAACATTACCTGGTGCTGCTGAAGTGAAGCAGAGCAAAGTTACAGAGGTTTTATTAGAGACACAGCCAAGCATTTTGCAGTTTCGCATAATTTTAAAAAGTTTACATTTATTCAGTATTGAGACTTACTTGTCAGAAGTCAGTTAAATAAAAAAAGAAAAGAAAAAAAACCAGCGGCTGACAGCGCTGTAAACAATGGTAGACTGGTGGTTAATAAGCAAGCGAATAATGCAGAAAACAGATTTTTAGATGGAGTACACAGAGAGAGACAGAGAAAGAGCTGTACATGAAGTGTCATTTTATCGTGGTGGAAGCAACAGCAAACGTAAGAGGGAATTCATGACAATGTTTATGTGAACCGAAATGGATCTTCATTTGCTGCTGGTTCAGTCAATATTGTTTGGAGAGTGATGAAACCTGGAGCTTCCGAATCTAGTGCAAAAAAGACGTAAACACAAAGCGCAGACCCGGCAAAACATCAGAATCTGTGAGCTGTTGGCTTTTAGCCCCAACAGCGTGTCCGTGTGAGAAAGCCAACATCTCACTGATTGTGATGCGTCACCGGGTCCGCACTTTGTGTTTATGTCTTTGTGCAGAATCCGTGTTCCTGCTCTCATTTACTGTTTTAGCTGTTTGGTGGTTGTTGGAATTTTGTGAGGTTTGACCTGGATTCTGTAGATTCTGGAGTTTTGGGGAAAATAATTTTATATTTACAAATTGATTCAGGATTTTAATGAATCGATATCGAGTTATTCATGCTCAAATCGATTTTGGTTGGTGAATTGGTAAATTGTCCAGATATCTGGCAGACTAGTTCAGAACTCAAATTCAGACTCGTCCTCTACAAACAAGAAGTCCTGACATAAAGCCAGATGGTCTGTCCTTCAAGCTCAGGTCCTTTACCAGAGGCCCAGGCGCTTGAGGGTCCTGCGAAGTTTCTTAGCTGTTCGTAGGACTGCGCTCCTGATGTTTGTGGGATCTGCTGGAGCCACTCAGCTAGTTGGGGAGTCACTGCACCTAGTGCTCCAATTACCACTTGGACCACTGTTACCTTCACACTCCAGATCTTCTTGAGCTCTTCCCTGAGCAGTGGCGTGTCTAGAAAATTTTTGTTGGGGGGGCCAGGTAGGGGCACAGATTTGGAGAAGGGTGGCAGATGTAATTGGCAGATAATGTTTAAAAAACATTCTACCAACCGTTAACCATAATTTAATAACCCTATAAACCTAATAACCGAATGCGCTTTTAACTCTTATTAGAATGAGATTTTAACCACTACGGTGCAAAGTTTTTAGATACTATGTTGATAGAGTACAAGAGATACAATCAGTGCTTTGTCACTGTTTACTCAGCATTCAAGGACAGCAATATTTGCATAGTATTTTTACTGACATATAGTGCACATATGTTTTGGGCAAAAACATTTTTGAATATTAAAATACAAACATCTCTAACAAACAAATTGACAAATTAGCCAATGCCAATGTAAAACTTTATCTGCCTATTAAAAAAAGAAGATAATCTTCTCACAAACTGGTGTTTGATTTTGAAACAGGAAAAAAGTGGGGAAACAACTGAAAAGACTAACATTTGAATAAAACCTGAAAGCAAGTAAATACTTTCTATGCTGCCTTATGGTAAGCTTTGGTAATATTGATAAAGAACAACACTGGCTGATGATGAAATACAGTCAGCTGGCATGGTAACACTGCCAGTATTAACTGGGACAGAAAATCGGGCATTTTGACTAGAGACCGGCCCACCAGGTATTAAAGCCATAAAGCCTTTGAATGAAAACAAACGCTGTTGTGACAGTGATGTACACTGTCTTGTTGGTATATGTATGATTTCTATACATTTTAAGTCAGATAAAAACTTTGGTTGTAAGATTTAGATAATTATTTAATAAAAGCTAGATATTTTAAATGAGAATAAGAAAGTAAATGGTAAATGGCCTGCATTTGTATAGCGCTTTTCTAGTCCCCAAGGACCCCAAAGCGCTTCATACTACATTCAGTCATTCACACACACATTCACACACTGGTAATGGCAAACTACATTGTAGCCACAGCTGCCCTGGGGTGCACTGACAGAGGCGAGGCTGCCAGACACTGGCGCCACCGGGCCCTCTGACCACCACCAGTAGGCAAACATGGGGTTAGTATCTTGCCCAAGGATATTTGGCATGCAGGCAGGAGGCAGCCTGGGATCGAACCACCGACCTTCTGATTAGTGGCTGACCTGAACTACAGCCAGGTGGTAGAGCAGGTATTTCTTTGTGCCCCCCCCCTTTCCCTGTTAATGCCCTACCTGGCCCCCTGGGCGGATCTAGGAATGTTTTGCCCCCTGGCAAAACTTTCCTAGACCCGCCCCTACACAGTTACCAGCTGTCAGCTGCTTAGAAAAGGATGCTGGTGTTATTCGTCTCTCAGAAACAGTTCATAACTTCCATTCAACTCATTCATGTGACCTAAAAGGTAAACCTGTTTCTCCATCACCTGTTCAGCTCTGATGATTCAGTAAGGACATCTCCTGGTTTCATGTTTCCCTCTCACCACATATCCAAACCGATATCATGACCAGCAGTTTTACAGCTGTGGCTCCAGCAAACATCAGCTGATACTAGAAATTAATATTAAATAAATTCTAACAACAGCTGATCAAGCTTAAACGTGCTGCTATTGTTTAGCGCGACATCCGCTGGTTTCCTCTTTCTGGCGCAAAGTGGGCGATAAACAAACAAGAGAGAAAAGCCGATCAGCTGATCATTGATCAGTTTCATGATTGAAGTAGCAACAGGAGAGGCAGGGGGAGAGAATGAGAGAAGAAGATGCAGCTGTGCAGCGTAACGACAGAATAACTCCAGCTTTGTGCCTTTTTTTCATTATAGCGAAAGTACGGGACAAACTGTGTCTCTTCTCAGCTCAATACGAAACGCATAATATTTTCTCTGAATGAGGGACCATTCCACTTTTTTAAGGAGCCGTTGGCAACTCTACTAACTAAACTTATGAATAAAATAAAGTTCACTATCAGTAACATCATAGCACCCACCCAGCTGTATAGAAACTCCGTCATGCTAGCTAGTAGCAGTACGAGTTATTGTAACTGACTGTAAAAAGTCAGCACAACGAAAATAAACTCCACCTGAACTTGGTTTATATCTGACCCAGATAGACTGCAGGCCATAACTTCTTACCTGAAGTTCAGTTCACCTGACACTCGGACTGGCGGCTGCCTCGGGGCTCTCCTCCTGCCTCCCCTTCCCTCATCCACCTGCTGGCCTCTGTGGAAGCCCCGCCATAGCCACCACCAAACAACTGAGTTATTTTTACACATCGACCTGCATCTGGCCAATCCACCACCTCTCATTGTTCATGCCGTTACAAAAAAAAATAAAAAATAAGTCACTGGGCATATGCCCGGTATGCCCGATGGCCAGTCCAGCTATGTTAACCTGGGGTGGCCAGTCTGGTTGGGGGGGTGGCCTGTGCCCCCCCAGGCCACCCCGCTGGAAACGCCACTGTCTCTGAGCCCTTGGTATGTCTCCAGCTTCTCGTGTTCCTTCATCCTGATGTTGCTGTCATTCAGTATTGCTA